CCCCCCCCCCCCCCCCCCCCCCCCCCCCCCCCCCCCCCCCCCCCCCCCCCCCCCCCCCCGCCGTGAGACTCCTAGTGTGTGTTGTACTCCACTCATACTTCAATTCATTACATTCAAATGACCAATGAGCAAAGAAATACCCTATCGTCTTTAAACTGTTTTGGTTTCTGCCGCATCCCCATGAGTTTGGAGAGTCACTAACATCTTTCGATATTATTGTAAACGAGAAAATGACTTCTACTAATCATGATTATTATTAGGTAGCTAAATATTAAAAGATGCCATACATTAGTAAGAAAAATATATGGTTGAGAGAGCCAGTTGATATCTCGCTGTACTCGCACTGTACAACTGGTGTACTTCAAGTTTTTGTTTTGTAGTAGTGTGAATCTCGCCTTTTCCCCTTGCGGAGGGCGCAATATTCACTAATGATAAATGAGAACAGTCGTTGCTGTTGCTTTCTTCTGCATAAAAACATCCCGAAATGAGTAAAAACCACATTTTCGCTCGCGTAAACATTTTGTTCTGCTTCGTTCCTTTTCCTTAATGGATGAGAGAAAAACGTCGATCGAATCACTAGATAGAAAATGAATTGATATCGCCGTTTGCAATGTTTTTGTTTTTGTTTTCAACTAATGAGTAACATACTTGTAATAGCCGTGCAAGTCACAACCAAAATAAGGCATAACTGTTGACAAACTACACTTCATTTTAGAGAGTGAATGAAAGACTATGTTTGACTAGAAAATTTAATTTCAATTACAAATCGAGCATCACTACTTGGATTTCAGTAGTAAGCCTATCACAGAGGTGTATTATAGCTACGTGCTTTACTTTGGTTTTTTTAACTGCAGCGTCAAAAACAATCGTTTGAGCAAAATATCCAGCATTGATTGGATTGAAACGTGATACCAACAATATATTTTCCAAAGAATTTATTTATAATCAGGTAAGAATAATTATTTCAATCATCAACCAGCTTAAATAATTTCTGATATTATTTTGATTCGAATCAATTTCTTCCTTTCTTTGTGAAAATAAACAATAGCGTCTTGAATATTAGAAAAAAAATCATCCTCTGCACTGATTCGATTGGAATCACTAAATGTGAAACTCGAAAAAAAAGATCAGTTTTTAAATGCCTCGTGATATTAATTTAACTTTTATAGACTCATACTTGATAGATATTATAGAAATGTCGATGAAAAAAGCTTTGGTAATTGGCAATGATTATCACGAAAACTTTCAACCATTGCAATCATGCGTCAATGATGCCAATGACGTGTACGATGCCTTGAACGCAATTGGCTTTCACGCACTACGTGAAACAAATATTCCAATGAAAGATATGAAAGCAGTTACCAAAGAATTCATACAATGCATTCAACCAGGTGATATTGCGTTTTTCTACTTTTCTGGTCATGGTTGTCAAATGGATGGCATAAACTATTTGATTCCAAGTGATTTCGATCTCGATGATGAGAGATCGCTGATTTATGGTTCTTTGAATGCTCAGAAACTGATCAGCGATGTGCATCGTCGACGACCAGGATTGTTCGTCCTTGTTCTTGATTGTTGCCGAAATAATCCGTTTGTTGACCAGGGAAGTCTAAAGAAATTCTTGGGTTTAACTTCGACACGAATCAAGGATGGACTTGCACCAATGCAAGCACCACCATCGACAATCATATCTTATGCATGTGCACCCGACGAGACATCGTTAGCGGGCAGCGGACGACAACGCAATAGTGCCTATACTTGTTTTCTACTTTACTACATGGTCTTACCAATGGATATTAAGGAAGTCTTTCAACGAACAGCTCTTGATGTTCAAAAGTCTACTAGAAGTAGACAAATACCGTATTTGTTTGCTAACTGTGATGGGCCAGCATATCTTGTTGACAATCACATGGGCAATTATGCAGCGGCGCAGAATTTCTTGCAGAGACGGCGCCCTTGTGGTAAGTCTTTCTTTGAATGTCTTCCATTTATAATCAGTCACAACGTATGATTAGGATATTACCCCGCATCCGACCAAAGACGGCATGCTATTCCAAATCATCAACCTCGGATCAAAACCCCACAGCATCGATGGAACACTCAGTCCGGGATGCCGAAGAATTATTCCTTGTCGAATAAAGTGATGTTACCAAGCAGGAGACGGATGAGTATGCCTCCTACTTTCCCGCTTGTCGCTAGCCACAAGCGCCATCATGCATTAAAAGATGGTCGATACCAACGGACAAATTTGATATCTAGTTTCAATGCTTTTGGAATATATTAATGCTAACTCATTTTTACTTTTCATAATTAACTCAGAATAAAAAATTCAACATTGAATATTTGTTTTTACTTGATACTAATATATTCATTTTAAGCCGACTTCGTGATATGATTTAATCTTTTTCTCTATTCTCACTAGTATGAATATTCGATATAGTTTTCTTAATCTCAAATTCGCAATCATAATATCTTGTTCATTTAGAAGAATTGCGTTTATCTAATGATAATCATTGTTTTTCTACTTGTAGAGATGTTTTTCCCCACTTTTCTGTCCATAAATATTCAATAATGGTCATTTCTGATGTTCTAAAATGATTTTATAAAATAAATATGCAATTAACAGCATGAATTCGTGCTCACTGTTGGTTCATGATAAAACCGAACCGTTGTATTTATTTTTTAATATGCATAACAATGATCACAATCAATAGAAGAAGTCAATACCGGAATGTATCTTTCAGTCCGGAATGTTTTCGAAAGCATGTTTTTCGAAATTCTCTACTTGCAATAATAAAGAGAAATATAATCTATCGTGTCTGTATGATCAGTTTGTATTCTAAATTAAGAATTTACGAATTATTTGTGTCGATCTGAACCAAATATGTCGCTAATAATTTACTCTAAAACAAATCAACATTTCGTAAAAGATAATCGCTAAAAGTTAACTTTGTAATAGTTATATATCTCATACATAAAACGAGCCTGCTGACTTCAACAAACAACATACTGCGCAAAACATGCAAAATCCTTGAATTTTGTTTCGCGGCAATCGAACTACATTTCTTCACATATCAACCGTATAATTACAATTATAGTCAATAAGATCGTTTCACACGCCTCCGATATCAAAGCAAGAAAATAAAATATTTTTGTCATGAATACCGTTATACCTTTCGAAAAACAAGCACCAACTGCTAGAACGTGGTACTCGTTTCAAATCGCATTTATCGATTACTGACACTAGCTTATGAATGCGCAGCCTTGAAAATTGTTGCCTCGATTAAGTCACCTGCAATAAATTACATGGCCAGCGTTGTTATTGAAAACCACTCATCTAATATGAAACCGTATTCATGAAATACGATCATACTAGAAATACGATCATGTTCAAGGCCAAAACTATGTAACGCACAATTGATTGATTCATAGCAAATATGGGCTTGAAATCTTCTTCTCAGTCATGACTCTTGTTATGCTACTAAAACAGATTTCTATGTATTCCATATAGGTACGCGGTTTTCATTTAAAACTTGATGTTGTTCTTCGAGGAATAATCGAAATGAAACCCAAACTACATCCAATTATAATATGCAAATATTTATTTTTCAAAATGTTGTCATTAGAACATTCTACTCGTAACCATAAAACTTTCGTTGGCCGTTCAGCACAGTGCGATCAAAAATTCGTTGTTACATTTGTTTGTTACATTGGCTTCTGTGTTTCTTGATGATTCTTTTCTCTTTCAATAGGACAACAAACCCCAACGTGAAAAAAATCACTTTTATATAACTATTCGAAAATGCTTCAATTAGATCGCGTTCACAACACCTTATTGAACATTTCGTCTGCATTATTCAAAGATGAATTAGTCTCTAAAATTGACTAGCCCTGTCGACGCCGCTGCGAGACCGTTTTGTTTTTCCTCATTCAATCTACACTTATGTTTTAAAACTAAAGCGTCGCGCGATCATTTTGAAACTCGATTAAAAATACGAAGCATGCAAATTAGCTTTTTGTTTTGTCGTGCACGTTGAATAATCGTTATCTACGAACAAAACGAAATTGCGAATGTGAAATGATTTACAATCAATCGTAAGCTAGCGACTCTACGAAACAAGTTCATACAACGCAGACAATAATTGGACATTTCGTTTTTGTTTTAATAGCTTCTTATCAGTTATTCAAACTAATGTTAGGCTACTTCATTGTACAAACATTGGCTGGTCAGAAAGAGAAAATAAATTTTTGCATTAACTCAACCTTATGCAACAGTTAAACAAATAAATGTTGCATTTAAACTTTAGCTCAATCGATTTATCTTGAAATTAACATAAGCAGCAGCTTATGTTATTAAATTGACGATGAAAAATTGAAATAGTTTGTTGTTCTCGCGACATATATTTTCTATTTCATAAGATCTTTTTATGCGAAATTCATGGTTCAATTGAATGAAAAAAAAAGGAAATCATATGAAAATAGCAATGTTAATCTCTTGGATTAGACTTTTTTAAATGAGAATATTTTGCTATTTAGTGCAAACGATATACATACGTATTCTATCGAGTGTTACTATTTATTCTTTTACGTAAATATTAAAGTACGTCGTTCATTTCGCCGGTACACACACTATTCAGCCTTCTTACACCGATGTCGATCGCATTTTTCGACGGATAATATGTCGATTTAAAAACCATTTTTATAGAAATCTAACAAAAAGATTCATTGATAGCAACATGCAACAGTGTAATTCAATAGACTTGATGTACTTTATTGATTATGCAATTTTCTTTTCGGTTTCGAGGTCATATTTAGTTGAATGAAATAGGCCGAGTAATCTTTTTTTTTCTTCTTATAACATTCAAATTGTTCCTTTTACTAATCATTGTATTTTCAATATGATCATGTTCATAAAAATCAATCAAAAATTTATTGAAATTCTAAACATATATTTTTATTCTGTTGTTTGCAGAATGTTGTGCATATATACATTATTCATAAGAAAAGTCATTAAGAAAGAGACCCTTTACGTTCAAGGTTTACGTCTCCGATAAGAATAAACTATTGTCATATATGCTCCACAGATGTTCATGCAGTCAAGTTGCGAACTTTTCTTTTTCGATCTACTGACTCTATTGAGACAACAAATCTTTATCTATATCGTAAATAAAGACTTATCATAGTACTTTAAAACAGGACAAAGACATAATCAGAAATCACAAGCAGGTGCTAGACAATTAATCGTGTTGATCATGGCTATTACTTTGTCCAGACATGTTGCCCTTCTGATAAAAAAAAATGACCGCACGAATATGAATGGAAGGAAATGGATTCAATTGATTGTACTGACCTTGATTTCACTGGCATTGCCACCAGACACGAACAGTATACAATACTCATCAAACAGTTGTGTTACATCATTGAATAGTTCTTTTTTTTTTGCAAACTTTCATTCAGTCTTTTTTTCATGTGTATTCTTCGTGCTTCTTTCTTTATCCCATTCTTCCTTCTGTTCTTTACCGTCATGCAAATATTGCCTATACACATGTGTTCTCTTATGTGTTTCATCGCTGTCACTGGTAGTGTAGGTGTTTTTGTCAAATGATTCGTGTGTATTGCAAATGCGCATAGCAGAGGACACATCCAACTGTTGGCTACTCGCACCTTGCTCTTCCATCGATAGTAAATAAGCTAATTCATTGCAACCTGCGCAATATATCCATCATTACTTTTTGATTAATATAAAATAATAGGTAAGAAAAGCACCTTTGCGATCGATGGATGACTCATAGTCAAAGCAGAAGAAAAAACATAAAGGAAAAAAATATTTCTCTTCCAAATAACAATCATACACACACTCATCATTAAAGCAGACTTATTTTTTTCTCCGCCAAGTTTACCGTATCAGGTAATATTACGTTCTTTCATTGATGGTTTGCTTTTCGAAAAAAAATTAGATTTTACGATAAAAATATATCGACAATAGTGGACATTTGACCTTTAATATATATATATATGAGTATGCGTTCCTCTATTGAGTATAAAAGAAACGTTAAATAGATGGCGGAAACTTTTCCATTGAAACTTATTTCCTTTGTTGATCAAAGAAAACAGTTACCGTCACAAGAGAAATATGAATCAAGTTTGTTATTTTTTTAATTTAATTTTTTTCGAATAAGAAATTCTTTTTGTCTTCTCCTATCCTACCGATAATCATACAATTTCGTATATATTTATATACTGTATTGCGCGACTTCGTTGTTGTAGGCGTTATCGTGCGTTCGAAAACGAAAATAAAGAGAGCCTTGACATGTAAAACAAAAATACGTACAATAGTTTCATGAATATGTATAAGAAGGCGATCGTTTGACATTTATCGTACGCGCGATGAATCTATGGACATAGAGATGGACGTATGCAAATACACTTTGATCATTTTGTCTATCGACGAGTCATGCAACGAAGACATATATCGACTGTATTTAGCTTATTTCCTCCTTGAGATTTCAACTGCTCAACGAGTATAACACCACTTGAATAAAACACGATATTGATAAGAGTAAAAAAACGTCAAGAATGATAAGTATAGTTTATTGTCGTAGGCACTTTTTTTTCATTCGGTCTTATGATTCAAGTAATCAGAGCTCATAGAATAGAAATCTTTCATGGCATCTCTAAACAAACATATTTCTCCTTTCGTATAATATTAGTCTCTATATAGTTGGACCTTTCGTACTGCACATATGCATCCAATTTACGTTTGCATTGCTCTGTGGCTTTTGTTTGTTTGGCCGGTGTCTATCTTTTTATGTGTATCATAATGGCGAGTATAAGAATATTAAAAAAAAAGCCGAACTTTATGCTTAATATCAGTATGAGATTTATCGTTCATGTGTGAAAAAACAATGCGAGTCTACGCTCTTGTATGTGCTGATTAAACGTTGAAGTGTTGTTTACATTTGATCGGAGTTAGTCATAATGATTTGTTTTATGACAACGATTGCTGAATATTAGTTAAGATAGAAAAATCAATGAACAATTATGTTATCGTACGTACTGAGATATAATTTGACATGAAGTATACATCATCATTCTTATCGTTTTTCTTTTCTTTTCTTTTTGGTGTAACTGTTCATTGTTGTAGACACAAATGAGATTGGAGGTGGTGTCAGCTTTTGTTCCTTAATTTCGATCAATAAATTTTTCATTATCTTACATCATCTATCTTTTTTTATTCTGATTGTTCTATAATTGTGTAGTGTAATGGTTTTGTTGTACTATAGAAAACCTTTATTCGCCGACGCTCGTTTTATTGTCTTCGTTCAAACTAAATTTCTCTGCAGATTTAAATTGTTCCTACACATGCAAAAATGAATTTAATTATTCACACGCCTCTTGCCCATCAAACCAATGAAGATGTAAAGACGATAGATACCCTCTTAATCTGTCTTAATTGTAACATGAGGTCGATGTACACGGACGATGCTGATCGTTTGAATAGAGAGACTAAAATATAAAATTTAAATCAACGAGAAGAAAGAGAAAGGACAAGAGCGGGCAAGTGAGAACGAAAGACTATGACCGTATGAGTGCTATATGTTGAATTGCAATAAAAAAAAAGTCACTCGCCTATACATACGTGCGCCAGCAAAGAAGTAAAAGACGGAGAGAGAGAGAGAGAGAGAAAAAAAAGGAGAGACAGAGAATAGTATAGTTGTTTGTTCCAACTAATCATCATGATGCGAAATTCATAGTAAGAGTAAGAGTATGCTTCGTAAGTAAATAATTGGTCGGTTGACTAATAATATGTTATTTATAATTTTATTTCAGTTAATTTAAATCGCACGATGGCTACAACTGTCGATCAATTAGTGATTGACTCACAGTCACGTTTTCTTGAAATGAAATCCCTTCAACCGTATTCAACGACCGATGAATATCTGTATGCCATGAAAGAAGATCTAGCTGATTGGTTGTCCACGATGTATCCAGAATGGGCTTCAATTACAGCCGATAATTTTCTTGAATGTTTAGGTAAATAATAATTTAATTCGATTGCCAATCTATTTTTGTGCTTGTAGAGAATGGTGTGCTACTATGTCAACATGCTAATAATGTAAATGAAGCTGCACGCCGTGTTCTACCATCGTCGTCGGCATTTACAAATTGTAAATATCGTTCTAATGCTCGTTCAGGTACATTCAACGCTCGCGATAATGTATCACAATTTATCAAATGGGCACGTTGTATTGCCTGTGTTCGAGAAGTTCTTATGTTCGAATCTGATGATTTAATATTGAGAAAAAACGAAAAAAATTTTATACTTTGCCTACTTGAAATCGCTCGTTTCGGTGCTAAATTTGGTGTTAGTGTGCCTGCTATAATCAAGTTCGAATATGAAATCGAACGAGAAATTGAACATGATAAACAAAAAGAAAAATTATTATATACTGAATTCGAATCTTTACAAACACAACAAGATGATAATGAAAACGCTACAACGAATTTAATCGATTATCAATCTATTGATATCAATGAATTTAATAATAATAATAATAATAATAATCAAACAAACGAAAATTCAAATGATATTTTTCCAACCGTAGATACTAATCAGAATTATAGTTTAGAACAAAATTTATCACATTTACCGATATTATCAAATAATAATCGTAAGCGAAGACAGAATAGCGAAGAAAGTTATGATAGTACAACATCTAGTGAAATAACTACAACGGTCATTACCTCAAATGAAAACTCACAATTGTGTCGAACAGTAGAAGAACGACCGAAGCCAATTGTACCACCGGCTTCATCGTCACATTTACACAAAACGGTAAGAAAACAAAAAAATTCATAATTAATGCAGAATCTCGAGGGCTTGTTTTTAGGTTGTCAAAATTGTGAATTCATGTTGTTGTTCACAACGCTTTCCTGTCATACGTATTGGCGAAGGCAAATATCGTATTGGTGAAAATGGAACAATCATATTCATTCGTGTATGTAAAAAAGAGGATTTTCATTTGAAAATTAATTTTTTGTTTTCTTTTCAGATTTTACGAAACCATGTCATGGTTCGTGTTGGTGGTGGTTGGGACACACTTGAAAATTATCTCAACAAACATGATCCATGCCGACGATCAGGTAATAAAATCGATTCAATGTTTGTTCTTCTATAATAAAAAGAAATGATTATTTTTTAAGGTCATCATCGAGACTCGGGGCATCATGATCATTCCAATATTCCGATTCTTGCGTTAACAAATCCACATGTATCACCTAGTGTACAAAAAAATACTCCATTCGGAAAGTCTATAACAATAAAAACCGAAGAATTTCCTCTACCAAAACCTACTAACCACGATACAAATCTAGTCGATGCTCAACTTGTTATCACACGTGGTGCTGATGGACGTCATCACATTGGGCAAATAACCTATAAAGCCGAAGAAGACACTCTCAATCAACCATCAGCATGTCCCCATCACCATCAGCAGCATCGTCATTCATCGCCACCGACAGTTAAGGTAAAATCTACTCGTACTACAGAACGTTCTACTCCGCCATCGGTATTCAATAAACAATCATCGCCTAGTACTGATCAAGATTATTCGTCACTGACAGAAACAACACCTAGTAAACCATCGTCAACATCATCATTAGATTGCAAAGAAGATTATATCGAACAAGCAATCAAGTCTTTAAATATGACTTCAATCGAAAATCAACGTGTTCGATCATCTTCACCAATAGAAAAACCTATTCACATTAATACTCCTCCTCCGCCGGTTATCGTTATTCAATCAACTAAACCATCGAATCAAAAGTCTAACCACATCATTGCAAAACCACCGAGCATTACTGAATCTATTATTGATACAATCGATGGCTACGTACCACCGAGATCTTCGGAAATTCCACATGATTTTAACATAAGTGATATTGATGATATTATGGGAATAACTAAAAAACTGACTCCTAATGACGATACAATGAACATGGATAATGATAGTTTAGAAAGTAGTGAAGGCATTTTGGAAGAAAAAAAGAGTCCGCCCGCACCACTATCCTCTCGTTCGCAATCAGCGAAAAAGTCCAGTGGAAAATTTTCTACATTTTATTTAGCACAGCGACAAAAATTTCAACAAGAACAAGTTGTCAATCGTCAACGATCTACTAATAATCTAAATCGATATGCTACACGTTCAAATACATTACCGAATGTTGTTGAAGCACTTAAAAAAGAAGAACAAGCCGCAAAGCAACGTCGTAAACCATTAACTGCAACAACAAAACGAGCGCAATCATCTGAAACAATCGACAAGATGAATGACATATCAAAACTTGATCGAGACTCGGGATTCGACGAACAAGATTTTCGTCGCGAACGATTACATTCAAATGGTGACGATAATTCGAGTATGTCATCGCTAAGAAGTCCCAGAGGTTCAACGGCTAGTTCAATAAATCTCGACTATAAAGAAAATAAATCTTACGAATTACGCATGAAAAAATTAGACGCAAAACGTAATTCAATTGAAAAAAATTCACCTGTAAAAACCGTACGAAATGCAAATCTATCAACAAGACGTTCCTGTGATGTCATTCTACCGAGCACGCCAACAAATAAATATCGAAAAAATAGTCAACCTATTATCACAGGCAAAAAGTAGCGGAATATGCGAGTGATATTTTTTTGTGTTTTGTGAAATATTTCTCTTTTATTGTTATACACAGTGATCGAATAGAACCTATTATTCGTTTTAATAATCAATACTTTGACAAATATCATTCCATATTATTTATATATGTTGGTGTAAAATATTCCGTTTTTTTTCTCTTCTTTTCTGTTTGTTATCAGCAGCGACAATTATATTAACGACAAAACGATAAAGAATACATTTGGATTTTATTTAAATTAAATTATAATGCATATACACTTCTGTTTTTCTTTTTCGATAGACAACAAAGGAGGACTCTGAAATTTTGTAGTTTCGAACAAACGCATAAAATTTAAATCTTCTATGCATAAGTACACAGAAATGTTTATGTCGATTCCGATAATCTTATCAGTTACAATGCAATGGCAATAATGAATCATGCGTTGAGTAATCACATTGTGAATGCAAATATATTCATGAAGCAAAATTCATACGCGTCATCGGAATTCTTTTTATGTGACTGTCTGTGCGATTTTTTTTTGATCCGGAACCTATTTATTATACTTGTTCGAGGACGTGGAATAACCTTACAGGTCCTAGTGAATATAAGAATTTAATTGTGTTGTTAATAGAAAAAATGAAAGTGTAATACGATATGATTTTGTTTTCTATCAATGCATTGATTGACAAGTGTACCTTTCGGTGGTCATGATAATAACAATTGGCTGGAAAAAAAGTAGGGCAATCATAAATGATGCCCGTCAGACATCACTGCATTCATTAGGCAAAATTGTCTGCGAGCAATATTCAAGTCTTGTCTACGATAAACATTCATCAAACACAAGGTTGGCCAGAAGTGTTACTTTTTGATGTTGTAGCAAAGAAAAACACAAACTCACTCACCGTCTTATAAAAATTTACCACTTACTGTTAAGAGAAAATCTTAAATCAAGATTTTAATGAGCGTTAAAAGCATGATGACCTTGGAAAGATTCTATTGAAAATTGTTTATGTTCACAGTTAACTGTAACAAAAACAGAAACATCGGGTTCGCATCCGATTGTTACGTGTACTGCAAAAACTGAGTCGATTTATATACGTTGTGAATAATTCTGAGAAAAATAATCTTTTTTTCAAAAATCCTTGTAACCCCCCTCAGGGATGGTCTGGTCAATAATGACAATTTTTTCAATAGCTCAGCCATTTCTTGACGGACCCTTCTCATCTTCGAACTCGACTGAAATATTGATGAGACCATTCTGTGTACAAAATTTCAAGACAATTAGCTGAGGCTTTCAAGAGTTATCGTGTTAACGGCCGGACACACTGACCGAATTTCGAGTGTACTCACTTTTTGAGTACACAAAAGTGATTATCATTGACGATATGAACCACTTTTTCAGGTCTAAGAAGTAAATTAATTCGTGTGCGATCGTATGAAAAATGGAATCTAACGAAATAACATTTTTATTCCAACGGATCTTGATGAAGAGATCAAAAATGATTTTTTTTTCTGTTTCAGAGTACAGGAGATCTTAAAAAAATTATTCTCGACAATATTTTGCTTATAAACTGCAGCATTACGATTCAGTTTTGACAAGAGTTTCATTTGTAACCGAGCGGCTTGAATTTTTCTCATAGTGCATTGAATCAATTTATTTTCGTGTTGAGTCGTGTTATCAAAAGAAGATAATTCACCAGATAATACTGCAAATCTCCTGCACAAAGCAAATTAAGTCTCAAGTTGATTAACAACATCGGTGTCTGACTAATATTTAATCTCTATACAAAACTAATATTGATTGTATACTTCGCTGAAGCTTTTTATTTACTAATAGACGCTTGGGGAGAGAAAATCTATGACAATGAAAGTGACACAGACTTTTCATATCGCTCATTTCTATCGTGAATATGACACATCGATGATTAATCCATGTGGTTACGGAAGTTGACAACTAAAGAATGAATCATATCAGTATCTTCAATTTATTTTACACTACGAAATAATAATCGAATGAAATTCAAAACTCTTCTTTTTTTTCATTCAATAATAAACAAATGGAATGAGAAAAAAACATACTTCATATAATTACCAAGGGCAACTACTGCGTGTTTGATAGGTTCATTCCATAGAGACTTCTCAAAAAACGGCAACAAATCAAATATCACATAAACTCAATCCCATCAGAACTTTCTTTTCATCCAAGTAACCTCTTCGTCTAACCGAGAGAAGCTCGGTAACTACGTTATCAATCATAAAAATAATAAATTCATAAAATTAAAATGATTATATTATTTTTTTTTTTGCTTTTGACATTCATGATTTGTAAATCTTCTACAAAATTGTTGTTTATGTAAAACAAAGAACTCACACATGTAGTGAGAGAGAGAGAGAAAAACAACCGGATTACTGAGCATACATGCATCTGACTTTAAAAAAAACGAAATAGAGCCCAAAAGAAAAACAACTACTCAAAGTTTTGTGCCATCATGATACGCAGCATAGAACAGAGAATAATCGTCCAATGATGTTGTTGGTGGATTGGATTCGTAGCCATAATTCGTTTGTGGTATACGAAGATGTTTCGGTTCATAAAAGTCATTTGTTAATGATGTTGTATTCAATGGATCATCGCCTTCGATTAGAAAAGAGGGTGGTAAAGGTAATGGCGGAGCCGGCGCTGGCGGCGATGATGGCATGTATGCATCAATAAAATGTTGGGGTTGAGATGGAAATTGCGCCAAGCGTGATGGAACTTTTTGTTGATCGTTGGTCGATGACGTTGAAAATTCTTTAGTGCCATTCAAACCAGACGATGTTGATAGTGTCGGAGAATAGATCGAGGATATGCCAAGTGTTTTAAATGCATCTAAATAAATACAGAAGAATAAACAAGAATAGGAAAAGAATACATGTATGAAACATACTATTCCAACATTTTCGTTTTGCCTTGGATGTTATAATATAGAGAAGAAAAATGAAAAATCCTGTTAATGTAGCAAATGTACAAAAAAGAATTTGAAATAAATCTCGCATTGGTCCAATAGCAAGTAAACCAAATATCCAAGTGAGACCGAGCACAACAAAGCAACTTAAGGCAACTAAAAATCGTGACACCCGCTGGGATTCAGCCATTTGTGTACTACGCAATTGTTGACCTGTTGTTCCACAGAGAAGTGAATGGGCAACAATCGAAAAAACGAGACTATTTATCAATATATACAAAACAATCGGTAATATGAATGATAAATAAAATGGTAAATCTGATAGCCAACAGCTGACGAAAAAAAGAAAATTTTATAAAAACAAAATCAATTTTGGTTCTCTTACAGTCCATCACTTCGTCTCGTATAGTGAGACGGATCCACAGCCAAAACAGCAATGACAGGAATCGATGGAACCACTAAAAGAAACGAGATTACAAATTTTAGTTAAAATGTTGAAAGAATCAAAGACAGTAAACGATTGATACAGGACGTATGAATGCGCTAATTATGCATTCCTAATTAAATCTAATATTCACCGAGCTTTTGTTTTATCTGAGAAATTTCGTGCGATTTACTTCATGCCTAAGACAGTCAATAGCATTGTTCTCATCTTTCTCATCGAATATTGTATGACACATTTCTAAACGTACCTTGAGCGAATGCTGCAGCTTTTCGTGTAAAGGCTGAAATTGTCCGAGGGAAAACTTTAACAAAAAGTAAATATTGTATTATAGCCATAATGAACATCCAACTGAATGACGATAAAATAAAATAGTGTAATGCGCTAGCTATAATAATACATGATAAATGCGTTAATCTACATAAGCCGATAATTGAAAATAGTATATTAACAAAAAGTAAATTAATCGATAATAAAAGAAGAGATTTTTGACTAAAATGGCGACGTAATTTTCTATAATAAGAAAATAAAAAACTCGATTTAACTAAAAAGAAAAAACAATATTTTAACTTACGCGAAAAAAATGAATGTTAAAATTGTTAGACATAAACCAATAGACGATAGAAATAAACCAGCTAGGGTTATAATCGAAAGCACTTGCTCAATAGACTTCGAAGTTGGCTTTTGTTCGATATCCTTCAAAAGACAGGAAAACAATTTATTGTTTAACAAAAAATAAAAGTTTCCATTCAAACCATTAAAACTGCGAAATGAGTTAAATGATTACATTCACACATTACATTTCGATCGATAACACCAATCAAATAACATCCATCAGTTGACCATTGAGCCGTCATATTATCAAATATATGCCAATAAGCACATGTTAAATTGCCATATTCTTTTTCATAATTCTTTTCAAGATAAAAATTCAGTTTTACAAACGGCCCGAGATTTTTCGTTAATTCTGGTTTATCAATTGTCAAGGAAATAATTCGTGTTAATACTCGATATTGTTTTTCATCAAATAGGCCACTTAGTTGATTGTAGACAGAAAATGTTAAACGATTTTGTTGAGAAAGTGCTTGAGAATCCAGCAGAACAACCGTTAAATTTTTCTGTCTATCATTCGATTCAATCGGATAAGTTTGATTTTTGATTGAATCTAGATGAACAACAAAAACAAAATATCATTCAAAGACTTCTTAATACAGAAGCCTCTATTCAGTCAAAGCCTTTGACTATCGGGAATACGTGCATTATATTGATCCTAATGAGCGTTGGCTACCTTGAAAAAAGACAACTCAAGCTATTCGCGTATTACTGCTCTACTCCTACTCGAAGAGACTAGCTTAAATCAACGGCACAAGAATAATTATGATTGATGTCAAAATTTAAGCTTTTGGATTTCATAGGAACAATCGGAGTTTCCTTCATGACATGGAAATTTGCAATCGCTAAAAGATATCCTAATTTACGAACCGAATGCGAAGCCAATGATTGGTTTCGTGCGATTATTTGGCATATCAACAATGGATACAGCTAGATTAGTTTCAATAAAATTTTGTTCTAATCTATCTGACTTTAAATTTTGAGTGAATCTTTCTAATGATGATAATAGCCTAAAGAAAATGATTGATGACTAAGAATAATGGACAAAAAAAAACATGTAAACTTACTTTACAATGCTTCGATTTGATGTTTTTACTTCTTGTAATTTCAATATAGATTCCGATGATAATAGTTTATCAACCACTGAATAAATATTAGCATAGATCTAGATATTTTTTTTGCAGATTTTCAGATGAATTTAATTAGAATATAATTACGAATGAAAAAAGAAATCACACTCAAACCTGATTGTTCATATTTGGATTATTTGTCTTTAGACTATCAATGATATTGGCAACAGAAGATATATTTGATCTTGATTTAAAATGAGCTGATTCGTGGTTTAAATCAGATAATACATTAGCAAAATCATTATAACTATTCATAGGTAACTAAAATCAAAAATCAAAATTTTACTACGTTATATTCTATTGTGAAACTTACTCTTGCAAGTTCTTCAATAGAGATATTAAAATATGGATGAGCAATAGACGGTGATGATGATGATGATGGTAAAAGAATACTTGACATGGTAGTTTGTTCTTTCTTATCAGGCGGTTTTAAACAGGGACTAAAATAAGGTTCATCACCCCACGATGAATTCTGATAACATGGCAAATATACATATGGCCGGCCAGTATCTATTGATATAGAAATATTTTAAAGAAAAAAATTCTTTTCTCAGAAAACTTACAGGGGCACGTTTCCAATGATCCAATATTACCAACAGATGATTCAATAAAATTATACGGTACTTTTATTGTATTATTTAAAACTTCAAATGTAGCTCGTGGACATCCACCTGCAATAAGAAAAACGTCTCTTCAAACATCGCGGTCATTTTTTTTGCTGGCAATGAAGTCTTTTTTATTCAAATTTCACATACTATCTCTGGCGAAAAAAAAGGTGATTGGCCACAATAAATCTCTTTCGAGATTATTGAGACACGTGTTGGTTAGAGAAGTACAAAAAAAGCTTCCGACAACAGATTTTTCGATTTAAATAAAAGATCACCCTTTAGAGTATGAGCTTCTCTTCTTTAAACAATAATTTGACAACAAATTGATTCTTACCGTGCGAACAATGAATCGCCATCAAAATGAAGAATATCAACCAAATAGCTCGTGCCATTAACATAGCTTCTAGTTTGATTTTGATAATCTAAAATAAAAGACAGCTTCAATTCTAAATCGAGCACAGTATTGAAAAGTTCAATTTGCACTTCTACACTTGACTTTTTCATCGATAAATACATCTAAACTGACGCATATAACGTCTGTGATTCTTTATTCCTTCTCTCATATCCGTTCATTCATTCTGACTTTTAATCAATTGACACCGTCATCAAACGCGACCGAGACAAACGTCTATCCATTTCACATCGAAACGCAAGAAAAAAAAAGAGTTAAATTAGACGTGTAAACAGTACTAGACCATATTCATGTCACTGAATCTACGAAACAAACAATACATTCTTTTCGGATTAGCACTACGGTATTGTTATAAGTTCAGTTTTTATTTCACTTATTAAAAAGAGCTCGTAGCACTTGTCTTACCTCAATAAATATATGAAATATCTAGAAGAATATGTTATTAAAAAATTTCTTAAGGAAAAACTAGCAGCCAATCAACTCCTCCTATTTTGCTCTTTATTGTAACGAGCAATTCGAATGTTTTACTATACAAAACGCTCATTTGTTGTTTTCAACGGGTCAAATCACACATACACATGATATGAATGACGAGAAAATTACAAGTGGTATACCCTTGTCGTCTTAAGAAATAGATGGAGGTCAACGCTATACATTACACCTGTCGTGTTCGTCCTCATCTCAAACAATCAAGCTTATCTTAATCAAGCAAACTCGATCTCTTGTTTCTCCTTGCTTACGCACACGCTTGTCCGCGATTACATATTGATACATGTATAAAGATGGTGTGAAGCCTCTTGTATTCATCACCCACACTGTAATGTTCACTAAGAATAATAAAAAAGAAGAGCGCAGGATTTAGAGATAGTGATGTATTTGTTTAAACTACACGAACATAAATAAATGAACCATTGTAAAAAAAAACAAGGAAACAGTTAGGTCTTGTTCTTTTATGTGTAGGAAGTCAAATACTATCTATTTCTATATTTAATCCTTTTCGCAGCACAAGATGAATATTTCGTCATTGTATTAGTCAGCATGAAGAAAAAAAGCTAGCATAGTTTTTTTCTCACGTTCTCGAGTGCCAAACTTATTTGTTTCTAAATAAAGAATGTAGAGATAACTTGTGTAGGGGTCTCTCTCTCTCTCTCTCTCGCCTTAGCTCTATTTGATATTGAAGAAGAATGTATGCACATATTTTTATTTGCTATGATGATGAGACGTTTGTATGTGTACGTAATAGTGAAATTAGATCAATGAACGATAGCGTTCGTACACGAAAGAGACGATACCACATTTATATGTGAATGTTATGTAAATGTTCAAAGGCATAGTTTAGTGACAAACGATCATTATCTTTATGCTATTTGATTTTCTTGTACCGCTAGGCTAAATATGAGTTCATCTGGTGCCTACAACTACAACCATCGTTGCCGCTCTTATTTCTTTTTGATCAACAGAAAAGAATAATAATGATCCATATGACTCATTTCTTTTTTTCTCTGTCTATGATGCTAATTAAAATCGTCGATCACTTTTTGTTTCTTAACAATTTCTATTTCCATTGTAAGTTTGTGTAATGTTTATCAGATTGAATCTTCAGAGACAAATCAATTCTTTCATAAAAATTATTCAGCCAGAAAATTTCAACATTGAAGTATATCTATTTAAACAAAACGCATCAATAATCAATTTGATTTCACCGTTGATTGAACTCAAGTGATCCCTTTTTTTTTATAAAATACTCTCAATTGAGCTATGAAAATGTCTGCCATCGATATATATATAAATATTCATTACCTAATCACTTATTAATATCAACATTAGGTTTTTATTTTCAATTGGGTTTATGCAAAAACCAAAAGAACTTTTATTTATTTATCGAAATAGATTTTCTAATAATTTTTTAATTAAAACAAAAAGTTATCATTTTTTATTTTAATAATTTTGTAGGTCATTATTCTTGTTAACAGATGCATTGATTGTCTTTCCCCATAATGGAACAAAATCTTTTTCATTAATACTCAGTGTCTCTTTCGCTTGTTCAACCAAATCATCAACGAGCAGTCGATGAAGTCGATTATCTCTACAAATATCTGCTGATAATGCAAGTAAATCAAGCATATGTTTAACTAATGCTGCAAAGCGAAGAATAGCTTTACTATAACCATGTCAATATATCATATATTTCCATAGGATTTCTGTATATACATGTTGACTACCAACTAATCGAAAAGTGCCTGTAAGAAGTGCATCTTTATTCATATAGGGATCATGATTGACTGTATAACAATTAGTAGAAAAAGCAAAAAACCATATGTATCATTTTCACAAGTGTCGAATCAAAATCACGTCTCTTAGCAATTTGTTTCGCTTCATGAACAATACTATGTCCATACAATGGTGCAATGATGCTTTCATGTCTACTATTATCAAACATACCAGCATCACGTAACATAAATGACCCACAAATATTAAATAGACCATGTAAATTACGTTGAAAAAGCGATCGTTGTTCAGCGGCAGCCAATACGTTAAAAATCAGTTGTAACACTAACGAACGATTGTACTGATGTATAAAAAGAAGCAAATAGATTAAATGTATCGGACACATCGATTTCTAGTGCAGGCTCAATGAAATCTAAATAATTAATTATCCGCCGCATTGCTGGTACCAAATTGAATTTATCGAAAGCATGAATTACAATTGATAATAAATTCCATTCGGAATTGTCAAGCGATGATCGATCATTGTGTAATAAATCTAAGGAATTTGTTCTTGAAATTGACTAAATAGAAAATTTTTTTAAGCATTTGAAATGATATTCCTATTCGTCAGGAACTTCAGCGAATAGATATTTTCTAGTGCAAAAAAAGTCATATCTGGGAGATCAATTTTTGCTATTGTAACAAATATTTTAGCCTGAGATTCGGACTCTTTTTTCTTTTTCTGTGATATACATAGTTAATTATAGAAAGTTATTTTTGTGAAAATGAGTATCGCAGCAGGAAAGAGAAGTCTTTCGCTAGATGCTCATTGATTTTCTTTTTTTTGCATTACCACTGTTGACAAGGCAAGCTTAAATGAATGCTCACGGATATGTTTGCAAATGGTACTCAGAGCACGATTAGAAATAAAAATTTTATTAGTTTTTTTCACATTATTTCAGGATCAACAAAGAAACAGTAGCTTTTCTAATGATTCAAACGGATTATTCTATAAAAATATCAGAGATTTAATAAAACATTGTTTTTTTTTGTCAAAATCACGTCCCGTTGAGACGATAGAAACATCTGGTGGTTGATTATCTTAGACTTGATAAAATAAAAATTGATGAAAAACAAACTGCCACCCGTCAAATTCAAAGCTCTTTATTTTCATCAAAGTAATTAAAAAAATATATTGAAAACTCAATTGTACTCTTGGAACAAAATGGAGTTTACATCTCTCTTTGATAGATTAATTTTTTAATGAAAATAAAAACTAATAGTTTCAGCTGTTTTTATAGTCACAATAGAATTTTGAAGCAACCTCACAAATAACAATCAATCAAACGGATAGAGAGACCTCGAAGCGATCAGATAACTTTTTTTGTAGTGAAAATATTTCTCTAATTGATTCAATGCAAGTGTACAATTGATTTCGAATAGTGTTGTTTTATTTTGTTTTTCACTTGTGTCATAGGAATGAAAGCCTTTGAACATGTTGTTTTCAATTGTAAAATCATTTGTCCCGAAAGTACAATTTTTATTATCTCAGCGGCAAAACGAGTTGCACCACTAAATCTACTGATTATGAATCTTATCAGAAAATATAAATCGTTCAAATCTGCATTGTATTGAATCATCTGTCTAGTCGTATTAGTGGATATTTGTGCTGATCTTTTCTTTTGTACTCATAAATGCAGCCAATTTTCGGATCGATATTCTCGAAAACAAAAACACGTGAATTTCTCTTCTAATTTCGATGCATATTCAATAATCTTATACGTACTATCGATTTACTATTTGCTCCAACCGACGAAGGACACTCTAATCTTCGATATTCTTTTCGAATAAGTTTCGGTGACTTACCCACGGCAAGACATTTGACTAATCGACAGCTAGTACAACATTTTCGTGTTTCTACAGTGACTTTACAATGACCTCCATGTCGACATGGGCCAACATCCTATAGAATAGTAAAGATACAATCGATCGTAGATGAATTTCATTAGAAAGATATTTTTAAATGCATGCTTTTATTACAAAAACCACGGCGACGAAAAAATGTTTTACATGAATCACACAACAGTGCACCATAATTAATAATGCGTGCCACAGCGCTGCATATTAAACAAGGACTTAGTTTCGCTGTGGTTCTTGAGTGTCGCGATGTTCCATACATCCTGTTTTTGGATTTTGCTTTGTTGACTGATGTGGACAGAAAGGGATGAGCCGTGAATGTTGCTAGAGATGATTGAGAGAAAAAAATGACGTTTTAGTCTCATTAACTTTGATGGTGTCTACAACAGCGATAAAGCTTGTAAATAATTTAGTGATTACTGTAAGAAATCAAGTTTCAACTCACAGCGATATATGTATGAGTCACGATTCTTCAGAATGCTATTGGTTTAAAAGTTGAAAATTTCANTTGCTTTTTCTAGTAGAAGTTCACCATCAACAGAATCGGCTAAAGCTACCAAGTACTTCTCCCAATAAGACGCGCATCTGTCTTCTAAGGAAATTTCGTCAAGAGTGTATGAAAAGAAGTGATCATTCCAGTGCGAGGAGAAAATAACTCTTCGAAGGCTTGAAAAGTAGAAGTGAGACAGATCTTGTCTTTGCTTCTCAGTAAGGATAGGAAACAGGAAGTAGATCCATGTGAACAGGGGTAAAATATACGATGAGAACAAAGCGCGCCTAAGTTGGGGTGAAGTACACCCTGAAAGCTTAAATGACTTAATCAACGAGATACGTTGTCGAACTTTAATCATGGTTTTATTTAACATGTTGCTCCAGCCTAGTTTAGGGGTAATCCAGTACCTCAGGTATTTGAACTCCCACACCCAATTAATTTTTTTTTCTTTCATCTCGTCAACGAAAATGGCGAATTTCGGTGAACCAATAGCACGTGCGCTATATAGAGATTGAGATCTTATTTGTTGCTTCTAGCAAGCTGTTTTATCGATAATTAGTTTGATCTGCTAAGCTTATTATGAATTCTTATATTTGAGCAATTTACTTGCAGCTGTTTCCTTTTCGTATCGATCACTACCATATCCAGGAATTTTTCCTTGGGAAATTCACCCAAGTAGAAATAGGCTTTTACTTTTTGCATACTTGTACTCATTTAAGTGCATTTGTAAGTACTAATGAATACTAAAACATACAACTTTTAAAAATCTCATTAATGTCAACAAGTAGAATATATGTTATCGAATACAGGCTGCTACTTCTTTCATTATCATCACACATACTTCGCATTACATCAAACAATGTCAGTTTGAGAATACGTTCTTTCACTTTTCCCAGTTATTCATTCGAAGTTGAGTATTCGTCTGCTTAGTTACATTCTATGTCATCCATTTAGTTAACAGAGAATAGTTCTTAGCAGTTCAACCATGTCGCAGTTGAAATCCCAATTCAATGTGACAATTTTCTTCTATCATTTGCTTCTACTTATTAACAAATTTCGGTATCCAACTTTAGTTGCTTGTTTCTTTTTATCTGTGTTCAAATTCTGATTTCCCTACTCTATCTCAAGTTAGTTGTCTTTTAAATTTATTATCGTTGTCACTATTTATTTGGTATATTGTCTTAGATTATATTTTTTTGTATTTTTTCTTAGATTCACTGCTTTCTATTCATTTGCTTATTTCAGCCATTTGCTTTTTAAGTCGTTCGCGTAGAAAATTTTCAGGACATTGATCTATTGCATCTAAAGGATAAGCTGTTTTACTTTTTAAATTTATCTCTATGAAGTGACTATTCATCTAGGTTGCTATGCTTTGTAGTACTCGTTACGCTATCGAATACTGTTTTATTTCCAGCATTCATTAGTTAAAATCCAGATCGTATGTTGAAATAGTTTCATTCAAGTGATCTTCTTATTCGAAAATATTTCGTTACCTAGGTTTAGCTGTCTTTTCATTTTGCTGTCCCTCTCTCATCTGAGGTTAGCTAAGACATTTAACCAATTGGCGTTCTACTTTCATCTCACTTCTTGCATGAAGTTATATTTTTTTTTTGGGTTTTCTTATTAGATTCACTTCATTTCGTTAAGTGTTCGGTGTCTTTAGTAGAACCTCTGCTTTTATTATAATCGACGTATACCACTGCCTCCACATTCATTGAGTTAAACTAAAGAGTATTTTATTACATACTTTTTAGTTCTTTTTTCCTCAGCGTAAGTCTTAATGTATTTCACCATGTGTCAGATACCTGTTTTAGCAAGCAAATTTCTTTTTTTATTTTCACGATGCGTTTGTTGAAATTTTGATGCTACTCTCAAAATTTTGTTATAGAAGTTACTTTTTTATTCGAGAATGTTTCACCATCTAGGTTCATTTGTATCGAAGTATCAACTGCATTCTCTTAGATTTTGTCTAGTTGCTCAACTTACTATCGTTGTAGCTGTTTGCTTTCGTTAATAACATGACGTTTATTTTCTGTAGTTTTTTTCTGTTACAGTCACTTGGTTTTGGTCAATCTAGAACATATTAAGTTCAGCGTGTAGTTTGTTTTAGTCATTCTGTTAGAATTTTTCACAGTATCGATTTATTTCATCTTGTGTATCAGCTATGTAACTTCTTCCAGTTACTTTCTTGGACTTGACTATTAATCTAGTCAGACCAGTTCTTTATGACTCGTTTAAATACGCAAGTATTTTTCTTGACGGAACTTTATTACCTATTAGTTTTCTTCCTCATTTACTACTGCAATGTCACTTTTGGCGTTGATTTGTTTCGGGGAAAATAATGCGTCATTCACACTATAGTGTTTTGTTTTTCGCGTCTTCGTTCAATTCTGGCTACCCTTTATCGTATCTCAGGTTAGTTATGATATTTAACTTATTATTATTCGACATTCATCTCGTTTGTTGCATGAAGTTGTATTTCTAAGCGTTTACTGTATTAGATTTTGTTAGCCCTGTTCAATATTTTACTCATTTAAGTATCAAAAGTGTTTTAATTGTTATTGTGGAACTTTCTTGAAACTTTGATGTATTTCATGTAAGGAGTGAGTTAATTAGATTTTGCAAGTTTTTTTTAAAGCTAATTATACGTGTAGTTTGCTATGTTTTGTATCACCCGTTGAGCTAGTGAATACTTTTTCCATTTTGAGTATTCATTACTCGCTGCTGTCTCTCGTTTAATGAATAACGCTACGTTATTGAACGTTCTTTTATAAGTTTCCCTACATTTCGTTGTGTCTGGCATTTTTAATTAAATGTCTACTTTTTATTAGTATCACCATACACTATTCTCATAGTGTTGATTAATTCCATGGAGAGAATATTTTATTACACTTTCCTTAGTTCTTATTTTCTCACGTAGCTTTTCGTCTACTGCTCTATGTTCCAGATCACTGTTATAGTTAACAAATCTCTCTTTGAATTTCACTATTTACTTG